AAAGGGTATTATTAAAATGTACACACAGTTTAGTTGGGTTTTATTCAATCACTTTGCTTCAATCTAAGAATTTAGATCATAATAATAATGAATACATCTAAAAGACAATTTTATTGACAAGGTTTTTTTTTCTCTGTTGTTTCTAAATCTCTGTGTTAAAGAAACACACAACGTTTTGTTGTATGTATTCTTGCACTTAACTGTGGTGCTTATTTAATTGCCCCTAAAAACATGCAAAAATCCCTTACTGTCTTTTTCAGAAATACTATTTTGGGCTTTGAATACATTGAACTGCATAAAGTGAACAGAAACACAAATACTACAACTAAAAAGGAAAGAAAATAAACATAAAATTGGCAAACTCAGTACCTTACCATAGCGAGGAACTGTTTTCCTGGAATTTGGGTCAGCCTTTTATTTCTGGTGAAAGGAAATTTTAATGCTTCACTTTATCAAAATATTAGGGCAATCGTTCTGCTGGCTATCTGGAAAATTCAGAGGTGGCTGCTTCCTGTTGAAACAGGAACTATGATATAAAATATGTGCGTTAAATAAATCCTAACGTGGTTTTGCCTACCATCATTGTCTGTCCTTTTAAATAGGCTTCTAAAAGGATGCTCATAAATTCAGGTTAACACTCAAATCTTATGGAAAACCGTAACTAAAAGAGTTAAAGCTGCAATAGGCTGAAACAATTTCACTCAACTTCATATTTGTGTGGTTAATCCTATTAACTTAATGTATCCATTCTGCCATGTATTTATATTGATCCTATATTTAAAAATCATCCTCGGCAGATATATTGGCCGAGAATTAATTTTGTTTTACCTATATTTTATAACAAAGATTAGGGCTGAAACAATCAGATGAATCGTGATTAATCGATTATTTTAATAATCGTCAACTCATTTAGTAATCGATTAATCGTTAACTAGAGAATAGAGACTGTAAAATTTTCCATTAGCTGAAAGAGCGACCCACTTAGAACAGTAATTGTATGAAAAGAAATAAACATTTTTTACATTTAAGATTTTAAAAAAATGTTTTCGTCTGTCAGTATGCTCTGTCCTAAACTCCTCAATTTGAAAAGTTTTGTTTTCATTTCGTAAAAATTCTTCTTTAAGGAACCTTTGGCTATCCGATTAATCAAAAAATTTGTAACAGATCCACCGATTTGCAAAATAATTGGTTTAATTACAGCCCTAATTTTATTTAGCTTTCTTTTAGAAACTAAAAATTAAGTGTGGAAGAGCTTCTAATATGTTTCAGACATATATTTTTTTTTATTCTAAAGCATACTGCATATAAAGCCATCTCTATAGGATGTTGTTATTTTATTATCCTTTTACACCTTTTGATCTTCTCACGTCTCACTTACGGATTTTTGTAATATAATGAGGTAACTTTAGATATACCTCCTGTGGTTATTTTTTTGTCAATGTGCATTTTAGTCCCATGGGGGAAAAATATTTTTCAGGATTTAGGCGCACTTATACATAAAATTTGATAAATAATTATGGATTGCGAAACATGTTCAAAATATAAAAGGCTTTATTCCGCCTGAAAGCTGGCTTTCTCACTCTGAGCTAATTTTAATTTGCCTTTGTTCTTTTGTACATGATTATAAAGCATGAGCGTAAAATAAATGCCATTAGTATTAGTAACTCTAAAGCTGAGGATATCATCAAGGTTCATTTGGAACACAGTTTGTGTTAATGTTTGAAAACCATCCTGCCCATAAAGAAAAGGCTAATTATAAACAGAGCAAGAAAAGACCTTGTAGTAAATTGATTTACATTTTTCATCTACAAAGATAGAATAATTCATATCTGCATTAGAGAAAAGGGGAAAGATGTTATGCTTAATCTATTAAATAATTACCATGGACCCTCCTTTGTTATAAGTACCCCTGAATCAAATACTTATTGCTGTAGCATTATCTTATTTAAAATATCTGCTTTAGAATTTTAAACTATTTTTATATGGCTGAATTTGGGCTAGAAGCTTGCTTCCTGTCGTATTTTTATACTCCAAGCATTCATCTGCCTTACTTGAGGAATATATTCTCTTGTTTTTATAACTATGAGGAGTTGGTAATACATTTATACCTAAAGGAAGCTCAATGTTTAATTGCTAATCAAACATTCTTTAACTCTCTAATCAACTTTAACAAGTAGCCTACTGTAAAGCATGCATTAAATACATCTGTTTATGTTTATATTCTATGATGTGTTCATGGAACCAATCATTATGTTAGAGTATGTTTGATAAAGATTATTTCCCCACAAATTAAATTTGCTAAAAAAAAAAATTAAAAAAATAAAAGTCTTGCTGCTGCAAAAACAGGTGACTTAACTTTAGCACTATAACTTTCAGAGGATCAATATAGAGGTTACCTGCACAGATCCAGGTAGACTTGAACCTGTCACACCTTCAGGATTTATCCAGCGTATGCCTGACGTCCTAGAATCCTCTAAAACGATGGCATACGCCAAACTTTTTATTTATTTTTCAATTTTCTGCATATACATAGCGTACTCATAACGAGTCCAGAACTTATATCCAACGGCAGCCTAACTTGTGCATAACGCACAGCAATGTAATGCCCATGAGACTGCCACCCTGGGTCCCTGAGCAAGACCCTTAACCTCACACTGCTCCCCGGGCGCCTCACAATGGCAGCTCACTGCTCCCCAAGGGGATGGGTTAAATGCAGAGAAGTAATTTCCCTCTGGGATTATTAGAGTATATCAAAATCAAAATCAAAAAAAATCAAAAATGATACAATACCAGTCATTGTCCTGAGGGGGGCAGCAATGCGCCCGGTGGTGCCCGGCCTGCATTAAAAGCACAAGAAAAAGATTCCACTAAACGCCATTATAATGCAGCTCTAAGTAAGAAACACGTTCAGTGGTGGTCTGGAACACGTCAGATACATTGATATGCATTGGAGATCAGTTCTTAATAAGTTACGCATAAGTTATGCACATGTTACTCATAGGTTTTGGATAAGCCAGACTCCACTGCTTATGTGTAACTTACAATTAACGTGTGTCAATGAACATATCACTTACCTGTAACTTATGGTCCACGTATGAGTATGCGCTGGCATGCTCATGATTTCTCTATGTACTTGCCGTATGTCGTCATATGCCAGCATGTTTCAGTGTGCTCATAACTCATACAAATCGTACCCATAACTTATCCAACAACTGCCAGCGTTTTGGCCAGATTTTTTGTACGTCAGGCACGATGGCATATCGTCAAGGTGTGACAGGGGCTTTAGTGAGGTTAGGTAGAAACTGTTTTTATTTTAACAGAAAAGAAACAAAACTGGAGAACAAAATAAAGTTGAGTAATATAGCAAAAACCCATTAAAAATAGCTTTAATAAGCCATAAAAGCTGGAGTTTGAGCATTTTCTTTTCAATATTTATATACAAGAAAAACAGTCTCTTTGTTTGAAGCCTTGTATTGTTTCGTACACACTTATGGGACAAAAATGGCACTTTTTAGTCAGCAAATAAGTATAGTTCACCAACAACACTGCTGAAGGTATTGACCCACGTTACTACCAAGCAGCTTACTCTGAAGAATTAAACCTACAACATTACCGTCATTGTGTCCTAAAGCTACTGGTTGAAGCTTAGCTGTTACTGTATCTACCTCAATTACCACTTTGCAAGCAAATGTTGGAGCTTCTCTATATAAAACTATTAGAGGTGTTTACTGTTGCGATATTTGCTCAAATTTGTTAAATTGAAAACATTTTTTGTTCTTTTGAGTTTTATTTGTGACAGAACAGACAGCAGGTCTTCAAGCTCTGCAGGCCTTAGAAATAAGCTGTTCTTTTAAATGCGATGTGTTTGAACAGTGTTGCTTTTAAAAGTTGTAGGACTTGTAGGACCTTTGAGGACTGGAGCTGGACAACTCCTAGTTTATTTCAAACTGTAAGCATGTCTGTATGAATGATTCATCCCTGACTTTAAAGCAATGGAGACTAAAAGTGAAGAGTTAGGAATCACTGTTCACTGCTACATCCATCTCATCTAAATGGCTGCTAAGTGTGTAAAGTTTGTAGAAACAAATTGCAGCAAAAGCTGGTGCTATATATAAAGGGATCATTTGGAGGGAACTGGCAACAAATGCAGGCCACACTTTTTAGTTTCATATTTGCAAAACATTTTGAAGACCACAGGTTTTTGTTCGTCCATTTTACAGTTGGTCGCTACTTTATGCTGTGCGAAAACGGCTGCGAAAACTTTTCGGTATTTAGGCTTCTCCTTCCTCTTCTTCTCGTCAGCTTAGGAAATACACTATAAATGCCTCTGAGGAGGATTTCCCTGGCTCTTCAAGTCTGTTATTACTGAAACGTTCCCATTATCGTCTTGTAGAAGCAGACAGCGAAGGCTTCTAGTCGTGTAACTTCATTACTCAGAAATGAACTCAACCAAAGACCGGATCTCTTAGGGGAACAAAGTTAGCCGCCTTACTAAACAGGAGGATTCTTAGAGGAAGCGGAGCCTCTTATCAGGAGTCATTTTTCCAAGAGGAGAACTATAATTGTGTGTGGATGCGAGCACTGGTGCTTGTCAAGGCCTTATTGTGGTGAAATCAGCGAGTGTTGTTTCTCCTCGCTTCTTTACCCACATCCCCCAGGCTTTGGCTCTTGTTCTTCCCCAGAGGCTTTCTATTTTCACAACAGTGAAGCTGTGGGCTGGAGATAAGTTCCTTGACAGCCTGAACAACGGAGAGCCAGAGAAAGTGTCAGAGTCTTGTGTAGCAACAGCTTATGTTCTATGCGGCCAGGTTAATGAGGTATAATGTGAGTAATGGAGAGTAAAAGGGGCTAGAGGCTTTTTAGCAGAGGAGCAATGCAAACTGGGAATTGGCTAAATAAGGAAGCTAAATCTAGGCTTAAATTGTAATTTTTTATGATAAACAGTGAAGGTATTTTTTTATTTTATTAACAGAAGTGTTTCTTTCTTCTTTTGCTTGTAGGTACAAGCAGATTATACCTAAACTTGATCCTCCTCCACCCTCTGCACACCGTAAGAGATCCAGTAGGACATTCTCTCCTGGGTCAGAGATGGCAGCTGTGCCCACCACTGCAGCCCCGAGCAACAGCAGCAGCTTCTCCTTTCCGGACATCACCCCCAGCTCCCTGTCGCCTGCTGATTTCCACTCCCTCAGCAACGGTGACAGCAGCTCCTCCTCGTCTTCGGCGAGCGAGGACTCGGGCGTCCGCTCAGAGACCAAGTCCCTCTTGTCTCCCCTTCGCGATGACTGTGACCTATTCGCCGACCGCGGGACGTTTCTGACAGCGTCCAGTGGCTGCGGAAGTCCCCTGGAGGAGCAGGGGGAAGCAGTTGCCTCGTCCTCTGAGTCGTCGACAGAAACAAACACCATGGCCTCGCGCTCTGACAGCTACGATCAGCCGCTGTGCATCTCCTCTCCCATGAATGACACCTGCCTTCACATCAGCTTTTCTGAGGATGAGCTCCCTGAGATCAGCCAGGAGGACACCAGTATGGCCCAGCGGAGTTAGGACGACTTTATCCAGTTCTTTAATCAACATATAAGATGCAGGGCTTGCTTTTAGACACTACTCTCTGTGCACTGGGTGTCCATTTCAGGTCCTTAAGTCTTTTATTTCACCTGTAACACAGCCTACGTGTTGATAAAATGCCTGTTGTTGTATCAGTAATTAGCCAATGAATAGATTTAGTATTTTTGTATTAGAGTGCAGATCTAATTTACTTTTTAGGGGCCTAGAATGTTAAGCAGAGTACATGTAGCAATATGTTGCACTGTTCAAGTCGTACTGAATTCACTGTATAAATTTAAAACTAACAAATGAAACACATTTATTTTTGCTAGCTGTAAACATCAAGCTGTTATTTTGTATGATGGTTCACTTCGGTGCAAACAACTGCGGAAGAATAATGTTTTTAAAAGTTCAAAAAGAAATAAGACACAAGAGCATAGAGATGGAAATGATGTTGGGGAAAGCTTCAGCTCCTAAAAAAGCACCTGATGGGATGATGGATGGGAAGAAAGGTACAAGGAAGTCAGTGAAATTGAAGAGCAGAGGTAGAAGTCAGTTAGTTGTTCTTGGGGAATGGGTTAATTAGGTTTGCATTTTTTATTTTTTGTCAGAAGTAAGTGGGATATGTGAATGTCGAGTCTAGGCAAGGGCTGGTACGAAACTCCCGTTAGCCTTACGAAGAATCTATACCATATGTAGCAATACGTCTTTAAAAAAACTCTAAATTTTACTTTTTTGTTGACACTAAAAGCAATAATATCACAAACAATGTGTTTCATTAACTCTTTTAAAGAATCTAAAAAACCCGCAAAATTGACATTGTATTTTGCACGGGAACATTCTCAGTCATCCAAGTCACAGTCATTGCAAAAAAGGTTTCAGCTCTCCACAACCTTCATTGCAGCGATGGATTTGATTCCTTCCCGCTATCATTTCAAACCTCCCACCACCATGCAGGGGACAAAATATCTCACCTGGGCAGCCAAGCAAACAATTGTCCCTAACAGATCCCCTTTTAGAGGCATAGCCCAGTATCGGGTATTGCAGGCTAACAAACCCAAAATGACTCCCCATTCCTAAGGGGCGGAGCTTTTCTTCTAGTTCAATTTGCATGTTTTCTAAGGCAAAACAAGTTTCTGGGCTACTATATTAAGCTTTGAACACTAATTCTGACATTCTGAACTGAAAAAGGTTCCTGGATGGGAAGCAAAACATCTTGGAAACCAAGTCCAGTGGAAGACATTGCTAAGGGTAAGCTAATCACTGTATCACCATATGAACAGCCCTACCCCCCTCAGAGCTTCCTTATAGGTCTCAGTACCTGCAGGAGCTGCTGTTCAGCCAACCTGAGGGACCAAGGAGGTGAGTGTTGAGGAACAAATTCCAAGTTCTAAGGAGGGGAAAGGATGTACTGCATCCTTTTGATGTAATAAAAACATGAATTACTCTTTAAAAGAGGTTTCTGGACAGAAAAAATGTTACTTTTGCTGCCATCTTAAGAGACAATGGTGTTCCAGTGTGACTATCAGATGTAAAATCAAATGTTGGAACAGCTTCCTTTAATACTTAAACAAGAAGAGTCAAACAGTGTATAGAGCTGAAAACTTCATATCTCAAGTTACTTTAAATAGCTTATAATTTTCACCTGTTGCAAAATTAGCTAAACTTCAAGGTCCATTCAAAGCTATATTAAATATAGTTGAGTACGGAAACATTACACTTCTATAAAACCAGGATATAATTTCTTCCCGTATCGATGACGATTCATGACTCTTAATCATTCTTATTTGGATTTCAGTCTAATAGGTCATTAATATTTTATCTTGCAGTTTTTATTCTCACTGCAAAAAAAAATGAAATCAAAGTAAGACATTTTTTTTTTAATAAGTACATTTTTTCTTGAATTAAGCAGGTAAGAGAGACGCTTTGTCAATAGGATTAGACAATCTACATTTAAAATAAAATAAAAAAAACTGTCTTATTATTTTAAGTGCATAATATGGAATCATATAGCATTGCTTGATTAGAAGGATTACTGGTGGAGTTTTAGCTGCCTCAGCATGAATGTCCACATTTCTCAGAAAAATCCCAGTTTGATTTTGTGTTGTGTTCTTTCAGCCAGGTTAAAAATACAGTGTGGGTTTTTTTTTGTTGTTGTGTTGAACCGTACTTTGGTATGGAAAAAAAAAAAATGAATATGGGCAAATTCCTGTTTGCTATGAAAATATAATTCCTTTCATTGTAACAATAGAATAGAAAGCAAAAAAGAAGATTTCTGAGAATTTGTGGATTAAATAAACTGGGAAAAAGAAATAACCAAACAAAACCGTTGTTTTACAAAGCTCTAATTACCTGCCTTAATAAACCCGTCTTAAATAACCCGATTTAATAAAGCTGTAAAATTTGATAAAAATACATAAAAGCTCTTTACGTTTTGTTGTTATGTTTTGAGGTCAGGGGATTTCAAATTAGAAAGACTTGAAAATATTGATAATTATCAGATCGACAGTTTAAACATTTTCTTTACTGTATTTTTATGATAGAAGTTAAAGCATGCTTTTTTTCACTGAGTACCGGTAGATGCAGGGGGGGGAAGAGGCAGAGACAGGAGGTAAACAAGCTGAGGTGTGAAGGAGGTAATGGGTGCAGATGTAAAATGCTATTTTACTCCAGAAATTGAGGCTTTTCCCAATGTCACTTTCAGCAAGGAGTTTTATATCACTAACATGGCCTGAAAATAAAACAATAAAGAGATGTAGCTGAAAACTATGGCGCTTTACTCTTTTTTTCATGTATTTTTTCTCAGGGAACTTTAAGGTTGGGCTGGACTTTACATTACCCTGCTAGCAGGATGACAGGTTAATATTTTGTGCAAGACGCCTACGTCCACTGTGCTGCTGAAATTACCTGTCTGTGCGAATACTTCATTCTGCAAGTCAGCTTTGTTGACAGTCCTCTTTATAATTTCCTGTAACCTCAGCACATTGGATACACGGATGGAGCTGAAAGCATCAAAGCGTTTGCATGTAGTAAAGTTTCACAAAAAGCAGCTGAAGTAACAAAATAAAAAATGCTGTTTACCTTTAATCTCTGAAGGGAAATCTTTGTTTCAGTTTTTCTGACAGAATGTGTGCAAGATCTCGTTTTATTATTTCCAAGCCATTAAAAATTCAGACAGAGGCTTTTCTCATGGTTATTTCCAGACCCATTTGGACTATAGAACCTTTTCCAGAAGTGCTTTTTTTGAAAGCTGAGCTGTTCCCCCTGCCTTCTAACAGCCTGACAACATGCATTTGCAGCACATTCTTGCAAGGCATTAATATGAAACTGAATGGCCTTGTGCCCTCGGGGCGTCAGTGTGATGCACTCATTTGAAATGAGGCACATAGGAAATCCCTTAATCGAAAGGTTTAAAAGCTGTAATTTCTCCCTTATGAACTAGAAGCAGTAGAAAAAATAAATACCAACTCTAAGATGACAAAAAATGGTGAATGTTAAAAACAAAAAACATGGATCTTGCTGACATTTTCCTCTCTTCATTACACAATTTGTAAATTAAGTATTTAACTTTTTGCTTTATTATTGACACTTAAATGTCTCATATCATCCAACAAACGACAGACCAAAAAAACAAAATAAATCTAAAAGACAACTTAATTTTGTAAGGTTAAAGAACATATCCAGACAAAAGCAGCAAGAGCCTTCCAGTGGAGAGCAAGGTAAGATTATTTTTTAAGTATAATTATGTAACATAACAATTCAAAGTGCCTGACATGGAAAATAATCCAGTACTAAATACACATGCATTTTCTCTTTTGTTGTAATTTATGAAATTGAGCAACAGTAGAAGGTTTTCGAGCATGATGTTTTTCCAA